ATGAGTGGGCATGTGCAGGGAACAGTGGGAAGCTCCAACTGGGCTTTGCCCTTAGTGGATCATCACACCCTGATGCATGGTACCGAGCAGCTTACAGCAGGGTGGTGTTAACCACCATTTCTGGTGTTTTAGCCAATCTGTTGGCACTCTGGGAATACTGACAGAAGCAGTTGTAGCTGAGGCAGATCCCAGAGAATTGTCAGTGGCACAGAGCCTAGCTGGAGGCTGTCAGTAGTGGTGTACTCCAGGGTTTCATACTGGGCTCAGTTTTGTTCAGCTTATTCATCAATGGCTTGGACGGGGGGACAGAGTTGTCTTCTCAGCAAGTTGCTGATGATACAAAACTGGGAGGAGTGGCTGATACCTCAGAGGGCTGTGCTTCTTTTCAGGGGGACCTTGACAGGTTGGAGAGATAGGAGAGCAGAACCACCCGAAATTCAGCAAGGGCAAGTGCAGGTCCTGCACCTGTTGAGGAATAACCCCAGGCACCAGCACAGATTGGGCACTGACCTGCTGGAGAGCAGCTCTGTGGAGAAGGACCTGGGGGTTCTGGAGGGCAACAGGCTGCCCATGAGCCAACAGTTTGTCCTTGTGACTAAGAAGTCCAATGGAATCCTGGGATGCATTGGGAAGAGCACTACCAGCAGGTCAGGGAGGTGATCCTGTCCCTATGCTCAGCCTTGGTGAGGCCACATCTGGAGTATTGTCTCCAGTTCTGGGCTTCTCAGTGCCAGAGGGACATGGAGCTCCTGGAGCAGGTCCAATGGAAGGCAGCAAAGATGATTAGGGGCCTGGAGCACCTCACTGATGAGGAAAGGGTGAAGGAGTTGGAGCCTGTTCAGTCTGGAGAAAAGACAACTGAGAGGGACCTCATCAATGTATTCAAGTCCATGAACAGAAAGTGCCAAGAGGATGATCAGACTCTGCTCAGTGACCAATAAAACAAGAGGTAACAGGCAAAAACTGGTGCCCAGGAAGTTCCACCTGAATATGAGGAAGAACTTCTTCCCTGTGCAGTCACTGAGCACTGAGCAGACTACCCAGAGAGGTTGTGGATTCTCCCTCACTGGAGATACTCCAGAACTGTCTGGACACAACCCTGTGCAGAGTGGTGGGACCAGTGACTCTCTGTGGTCCCTTCCAACCTGAACCATTCTAGGATTCTTTGAGGGTGTTGTGGAAAGCTGCAACGTTTCAGCTAGGGTGGGTCAGGGTACAGATGATTCTGTTCCTGTTCAGGCATCCTTTCATGTAATTTTCTTCTAACATAATCTCTGTGCATAATGTAAATCCAGCAAAAATGATCCAGCCCAAACAGTGTGAGGTAGACAGCTTCCTAAAGATCGTTTGGAGTCATCTTGCTGTTATGGTTTGTTGAAGATGAATCAGTATTTGACTGAACTACAGAACAGACTCTGTAGTGAAACGATAAAACCTTTCACACCATGTTGATCTAGTTAGAAGGTTTATAGGCTTTAAAAAGTATGTGTCTCTTAAACCTCAGACAGCAGGTGTAGTAACAAACTACCAAACTTTCAAATAAACTGCAAAATTCCATGATCTCACTCGTGGTGCTGCAGAACAGCTCTGTGACAGCACTAGGCATCCAGACACAGAGCTGCCTTTTAGGCCCCATGTGTGGCAGGTTTTCCACTGAACACCACTCCAGTCCTGCTCATCAGTGACTGGTTGTTAGCCGTTGGTCTGTGCGCTGCTCTCTCCTCCTGCTTCACCACCACTGGAGGCAAACAGGACAGGAACTACTGTTTATACTCAGGAGGAGCTTTTCTTGCCAAGCCACTCTTTTTTTCACCCCTGAGTTTGCATATTCAGCAAGAGAAATATAAAATGCTTTTTTTAGCCCATATTAGTCTGTTAAACTGAGTCTTTTTCTCTTTGAGTTGTTAAGAGTGGGTAAAATTTGGGATTCAGTAACTCTTAGTAATTTACCTTTTTGTGCTGCTCAAATGTGTAAGTGCACAAGAGGAACAAAGGCTTGGAAAGTGGTGGAAGTTAAACAGAAGTTTTAAGCTCTCTGCATTTTCTTTGTGGCAGGGCTGGTAACTGACTGCTGTTTGAGCAGAAATCTTTGTCATCTTTCTCTGAGCAAGATAAGGATCCATTCCTTGATACTATCTAAATTGCATTTATTTTCTGGGACTGTGGTGCTGTTGGGCAGACGCTGAGTTATCACTGCCATAAACCTTGGGAATCCCTACACAGCTCTGTTTCCTGAGACGGAAGTTGCCACAGTGTTCCCTTGGCTGACTGCCCTTTCTCTTCCCCTTCTCCTCCTGCCCTCAATCTGGAATCTCTCAGTTCCTCCGCCTTTTGATCATTGGTCTCCTTGCCATGCCTCATTCCTTCTCTCCAGGCTGACCTCATTTCACCTGCTTGTGTTGGAGCCTGCAGTGTCTGCTGTACAGCCATGGTCATTTTCAGAAGCTCTACAGCTAGAAATCAGATCTTGGTCACGGGCTTTTCTTCTTTCCATGTTGTGTTTCACTTGAATGGCCTTTGTATGGCAATTAAAGGTATGGTTCTCCCCAGAAAGGAGACTATAGGACTACTGCAGTTTTTGTTCCCTTCAGTCTGATTTGTCTCTGTGACTCACTAGCAGTAAGTTTTGCTTCTTTTGTAGGTTAAAAAATATCTTTTCTTTACTAATGAGTAAACAAGACAATCCGTCATAAAGACTGGCAGCTGTCCTTTTGCAGTCAGCTCAACAGACACACTTCAGGTGTGTTCGGTCCTCCCTGCTGGGCTGGCGTTCACATTTCACTGCCTGTAGATCTAATGTCCCTGAAGAAATGAACCTATCAAGAAATTTTTACCTCAGCTCTTGTGGCACATTCACTAATGTTAGCCTGCACCAGCTTCCCAGTGACCTCCAGCAACTCTGCTCTGGTGACTGGACATCAGATGTGAGAATCACCTGTGAGCAGTTTCCCACTTGTGCAAAGCAGTGATTTGTCTCAGTTCCAGTGTTTGAGCATCACCTCATCTACAGTCAGGCAATCCCAGACAGGCACTTCTGCCTCCCAGCACCGGAGGAGAGCTGCTGGGTGAGGTAAAGCTGGGACTGGTGATGGGACTGGTCCCAGCTCAGGGAGGGATCAGCCTGGGATTCAGTTCATGCTATTTACAGCTGTTGTAAAAGAGGCAAAACAAAGTGTTCTGATAATTTATTTGTAGACAGCACAGTAGTAATGAAGTTCAAGTGGCTTTAATGCTTTAGAAACAAAGGTAAACCAACTCAGCCTGGTGATCTCATTAAGATCCCACAATGCACTTACCTTTGAATTGCTCTGGCCTGTGCTCCAACTAGGTTTTGCCAGGAGGTTGGACGTGTATCCAAAGGCCACTGTGGTTGAAATAATCCAGGACATTGCTAATGTGAATTGGTTGCAGTCTGTAACTTGCTTAAGCTTTCCCATCTTGGCTAGTTCAGGCCCTTATAGCACTCGGTGTCCCAAGCTGAGCTACAGCTGGGATTGGACAAGCCATATGTGTTCCTGCTCTGAAGGGTGAGGTGTTCTTAAGGCTGAGGAGTTTAGTAGTGTTTAACCAGATTAAAGCTGTCACTCTTGCATAGCTGGACTGGCACAAATCCAGCAGGTACAGCTCCTGAGGACAGAACAGAGAAGTCTGGTATGGTTTTGTGATGCTTTAACCTGCACACAAACACATAATACTGCAAAGAAAATC